TGGCGAAGCGAGCTATAGCTCGTAGCTCGCAACCGGACCAGTGGGTCGGTTTTGGCCACTTATTTTTGGGCCTAAAGCTCAACCTAGCTTACTCGCGGGTTCAGAACCAAGCAGAATGGGCCATAGCATGGGCCAACCCACCTATCTTACTATTTTTTTTGGATTTTTATATTATAATATTTTCTAGTATTGTTTAATACTTAAAATGACATGTGATTAATAAACTAACAATCAAACTATTATAAGAAATGAAAAAATAATTCTATTTAGTAAAATTGTATATTTACATACGTTCACAAAGGAAAATATCATAAACACAGAGATTTAACATGGTTCAGAGCAAGTCTTGCGATCACGAGCAATCCATTAGTTTAGAAAAAATACAAGAATAAAAAAATTATAACAAATAAAATTTTAAAATTGCACCCCAAGACCCAAGCTATCTAAAAAAGTAAAGAAATTATCAATAATTTTGAATTAGTCCATTGAAAAGTAGGAGCCCATTTAAATTTCCACAATATAGTGTATCAATATGCATTTCCATCGGAAAATGTAGTCTTATAATATTATATTGAAAAATATAGTCTATAATATTATATTTTTATTTTTAGATAATTAGGCAGTTATTCTCCCACACCGTTAAGCAGAATTGTATGGATTCACTACTTAGGACGAGTCTAACGAGCCAACCCGACCACAAACAGGCCCAGCTTGCTCGGTGAGCTTTGTGAGTCGAGTGAGCTACTGATCTATATGGATTGGAGGCTAACACATCCCAATCCGATAGTCTGCTATTGTAGCGGGTCAAATCAGACTCATCCCGCATCAGGCCGAGTCGAGTTGAGCCTAAAAGTAGGCCAAGCAAGCGGGTTCATGGGCTGATTTGGCCCAGCACCCAGCCGTACGCAAAAGAATGGGACATTCAAGCCATAAACAACATTCGACATGTTCTACTTCGTAACTTACATCAATGACATTAATTATAATACACAACAAACTGACTTGCCAGCATATACATTGAGAATTCCAGCACGTTCATCTATCACACCCAAAGAAAGGGAGACGCAAGTCATAAAGAAGATACCTTATTCAACATTACCACACGCTCGGCTTCATATCGTACAGAAACATTATATACAAACTGACGTACCAATATATACTCATTTTGCATCTAAACAAGCCTAAGATGTTCATACATCACCCCTGAAGAATGGAGGATTCAAGAATGAACTCGAGAACGTACCCCCACCATTTGGAAAGAGAGTCAAGAAGCAAACAAGAGCAATAACAAAGCCCCAAGCAAAACGCTCATCACCGAGAGGTGTGATCTCATCCTTGGCGGGTATTTCCTCTCCGCCACGAAAGAACGTAGCGAACAAACCCCAGGCTAGGCAAAGGACACTACCACTGAGGCCACCGATACCAAGGAGTAGTGAGGTCCCAAAAGACAGCAAGCTTGCAGTGCTCCTACCGAATAGAGCCTGAGCTATTCGCCCACCTTCAAGCCTTCCACATGGTAGCAGGTTCAGCGATGTCACAACGATTCCTGTAGGATCATTAGAGCGATATTTCTTGATGTTTCATAGGGGATTTTTCATCATAAACTTTGATTTGTTATTAGCCAAGCTTACTACTCACGTTAATGTCATTTACGAGATTTTCCAATAGTTTTAGGGGTTTTAGAATAATTTCAAATATTCAGGTGGTTTCTCTAACTTATATGGTTCAGGGAGGTTGTTCTGAAAAACCCCAAAATTCAGGAGGGTTTTGTGAGCAAAAAAATATAAGGCTTTTACAATATTATAGACCCCCCATCATCTTCGTCGATTCTATACCAGACTCCCAAATCTTCATATTTGTTCAAAATGAAGTCTTAAAACCACTTTATAGATTTAGGGTCTTATTTAAAAGAACTTAACGTACTTGGAGTCTTATTTCAAACAACTTACTGATCTGGGGGTCTAATCTAGAAATATGAAGATTTGGGGGTCTAACATAGATCAAAAAAGATTTGGGGTACTCAACGACAGAACCCAAAAAATACAATATTTAGGAGAAGTGTACCTAGAAGTCCAGCGAAAGCAAGAGGATCCACAGGCACTCCGACACCTTCAATAGCATTAGGAAGGACATTACCAAGCTCATCAGAGTAAGGACCGACCACCAATTGAACGAAAGAGAGCAAAGGATTATTGTAGAAGAACTGCGGCCTTATAAATCTGCAAACAGGAAAATTGGCTTTCAGAAAGCTAAAGAAGAAAGCAACTGAAGACGAACAAAAAAGAAACTTCAAAGCCTTACAGAGCATTTTCTCCTCCATTGAAACTGCCATCAGAGATAAATGCAGTGATCGCAAGCGCTAATGAAGTCAAATATGCACTAGCTGTTCGGGCAACAGGAATGTCGAACAGGGCTTTCTTGTTTGGTAGTAGTGACTCATAGTTGTTGATTACTCCAAGACATCCTGTCCAATTTGATGGGATTAGAAATGATGGACTGAGTGTGACACCATAGCGAGCCGCTGTTACCCTGGTTGCAATCTGGACAGTTATAGAAATTGTCGGTACGATTTGGAAGGAAGGATAGAAAGATGCAGAAAATAAAAAAAAACGAAAAGTTTTTTCGTCTATATATTACCCTTTGATGTATATTTGCAAAACTACACCCAAATCATCAACTTTGAAAAGAACACCCCTCAAACAACAAATCATCGAGTTTGAAGGCTAATTTGTAACTGCACCGTAAAAATATCAACAAAATAGTCAATTGTTTACTCAATATACCCAACAACGTTGACGATTTGTTGATTTGGGTTCTTTTTCCTAGGTTGATGATTTGGGAAGTAGTTTAGCAAATGCTGAGATTTGGCAGTAAACTGCACCTGCACATATGCAGGATTAAAGGTTTTATATATATACCAACCCCCGAAAAAAAAAAAAAATAATAATAATAATAATAAACCAGCAAAAGATAACCATACAGCTATGAACTAAGTTATACAGTAGAAACTTAGAGGTTGTGACTACGCTATATTATCAATAAGAAATCATTCTTTTCCGTAATACAAAACTCTCAGCACAAGTCAAAGCACACCATAGAACGGCACACAAGGATGACCCTAAAGCCAATGATGGAAAAGTAGGTAAGAGTAAAAGAGAGAATCAGCCAGGAGAATTCTTAGATAAGCAACATACAAGCAAGAAATACTAACCTCAGAAACACCTAAGATAGTGAGGAAGCCACCAAAAAGAGGGACAACATCAGCTACGTAGTCATCAAATGTAGCTCCTGGTTTGAGAAAGAAGCCGCTCATTAGAGCTATCGTTCCGAAAGTTGCAACCCCTAAAAGTGTTGCACTGACATATCCCCAAAGCGTGCTCATCTTTGTAGACTCAAACTGAAGATCTATTTCTGACTTGGGTTGCACCATGCAAACCTAAAGCATCAGATGTTTAAGCTTTAATAATTTCTCAGGAAAAGAGTAGACAAATCTTCATAAAGTAACCATAACTGATACACAAAAACTCAAATGCACGTCGACTGAAAAGCCATTTCATCACTGGAAGGCAACGTAAAATCATGCTTTTTTTAACTATAGAAATAAAATAACCAAAGATATAAGCAGTGGTTTGTACACGATCTCAACTAAGGAGCAGAAAAAGAATCTTGTTCTACATTAATTAAGGTTTCACCATAACTACAAATATGTTCTGGAGATAATGGCAAAGCAAAGCCACATGAGAGAGACACAGTGTTTTGAGTCCAGATCTCTGATCTAAATTCAAGGAGATAAATGACCGATTGAGACAGTTGAGTTGTCAGCAAGTTTCGATTCCAATGCAAATACAAGATGAATTCCTTCCCAACACTGGTTTCTCCTCTTTCTTTCCTTTTTGATTTTATGTTAAAATGTTGGAAGTTTTATGTTGCATCCATCTCCGGATTCTTTTAGGAATAGCTGTCATCCATCTAATACTTCCATTTTGTACTCATGCTTAGAAGGAAGTCTTGGTGAGTTACCGAAGGCCGCATTCCATTTGTACTCTTTTGGAATCTACATGATCGCCTTCGCAGATGGCCATACTCTACTCTCTTTTTTTGTGATGATTATATAATCAAACTCTAGTGCTTTACATCTTTTACGTCACTATTGATCTGCTAAAAGTGGCTTGGTGGCTTTGGCTTTATTTCTTGGGTGCGGTTGAAGCAATGAGTGGAAAATTTTCATCTACAAAATTTGGGGTGGAAGAATCAACAAAAAGAATAACTTCAATCTCTGGAAAATCAATGATTCAAATACTTCGACTCAACAAGGCTTAGACAGGGCATTATATATGAACATAAGGAAACCAATATCTCGACGATGATTTTGATGCAAAGGTCATCAGCGCTATTCATCTTTGTTTCATAGGTAAGTAAAATAGAGTTTTGTAGGTGAAATGCACCAGTAGCATTATGGAAAAACTTGATAGCCTCCGTATAATGAATCTCCAACAATGCGTTGCATCTAAAGCAACACTTTTAAAGCACTTAATGAATGAAGGTGCTTCTTCATGACAAGTAGAGGTTCTTTAAGAAAAATAGTCAACTATTATTCAATATGATGATTGACAAAGAAAAACTTTGCTTGTACTCTTTTTTTTCTTTCTTTTGATATCCTGTTAACACTCTATCGTGTAGGAAGAGTGTTAAATTTATTAAAGGTCTTCCATCCATTTTGGTTGTGGGAAGAGGCACAAGTATCTAGTATATACTCTTAGTGCAAGAGTCAAGATTTATGGTTAAAAAATTGAGAGACATGTATCTAGTATATACTTTGTGTTCTCTTTAAAACCCAGTTATCTTAATAAATGCTTTTCCTTCTCCTGTAATCTTTCTTAGTATCTCCTTTCTTTTCTGCAGTTTCTTTCAATATTCTTCTTCCTTTTCCATAATTGCATTCTTCATTTTTTGGCGAATTCATGGATAACTTTGTGCTAGAAAGCCTTGCTATAGAAGGAAGAGCATGAGTTATTTTTGTATAAGTTGATTGCTTTCTCATTGGCTAACGAAAATTGGAGATAATATCGGTTGGAAAATTACAGTGGATCATAACTTGGAATTTCAAAAAGTATCTAAATCCAAATTAGAGACTACTACTTTTCAACATAACATTCATGATGGAAACCGTAAGAACTTTCATCTAAGATATTGAATATTATGAAGAGAAACAATCATTTGAAACGCAAGTCAGACAATTGTTTCCAGGTTACCTCATTTTAGGGAGGTCTAGAAGAAACATGTGGAATATATGTGGTCATGAGGGAACATGTGTTGGTGGGAAGGAAAAAGAAAAGGAAAATAAAGTATACACATGCAGAAGTTAGATGCTGTAGAATGGATATTGAAGATCAAGACCTTAGACCTTGA